TGTTCTATATTTTAAACTTAATAGTCTCTCTCTCTATTTATGAGTTAAACACAACCAACCGTGTAAACCTTTTATTTGTTTCATTATAAATTCACTTTTATTGCTGTTTATAATAATTACATTGATTTACATGATTTATAGCTACGTTTACATTTTAGTAAATTTACTGCCATATTTCAATATTTGGATTATTAGATTTTATAGTAAAACTCTTTCGAAGATCCAACCACTTTAATGTAGTGTTCTTGCGAAGAGCATCAGCTAATGCTTTTCCTCCTTCTGATCCGAGTTCATTATTGAAGAGATTTAACTCTGTTAAGGTAGTGTTCTTGCAAAGAGCATCAGCTAATGCTTTTCCGACGTCTGATCCGAGTTTATTATCGTGAAGGTGCAACGTCGTTAATGCAGTGTTCTTACAAAGAGCATCAGCCAATGCTTTTCCGACGTCTGATCCAAGTTTATTCCAACAGATACCTAACGTCGTTAAGGTTGTTTTCTTGCAAAGAGCATCAGCTAATGCTTTTCCACCTTCTGATCCAAGATTATTCGACTTAAGATACAACTCTGTTAAGGTAGTATTCTTGCAAAGAACATCAGCTAATGCTTTTCCGACGCCTGATCCAAATTTATTATCGTGAAGATTCAACGTCGTTAAGGTAGTGTTCTTACAAAGAGCATCAGCCAATGCTTTCCCAACGTCTAATCCAAGTTTATTCCAACCGAAACCTAACGTCATTAAGGTAGTGTTCTTGCAAAGAGCATCAGCTAATGCTTTTCCACCTTCTGATCCAAGATTATTCGACTTAAGATCCAACACTGTTAAGGTAGTATTCTTGCAAAGGGCATCAGCTAATGCTTTTCCGAACTCTGATCCAAGTTTATTCCAACCGATATATAACGTTGTTAGGGTAGCGTTCTTGCAAAGAGCGTCAGCTAATGCTTTTCCACCTTCTGATCCAAGATTATTCGACTTAAGATACAGCGTCGTTAAGGTAGTGTTCTTGCAAAGAGCATCAGCTAATGCTTTTCCACCTTCTGATCGAAGATTATTATGTTGAAGATACAACGTCGTTAAGGTAGTGTTCTTGCAAAGAGCATCAGCTAATGCTTTTCCGACGTCTGATCCAATATTATTATATGGAAGATCCAACTTTGTTAAGGTAGTGTTCTTGCAAAGAGCATCAGCTAATGCTTTTCCTCCGTCTGATCCAAGATTATTCGTTCGAAGATACAACTTCGTTAAGGTAGTGTTCTTGTAAAGAGCATCAGCTAATGCTTTTCCGACGTCTGATCCAAGATTATTCCAACCGATATATAACGTCGTTAAGGTAGTGTTCTTGCAAAGAGCATCAGCTAATGCTTTTCCACCTTTTGATTCAAGATTATTCGAAGTAAGATTCAACTCTGTTAAGATAGTGTTCTTGCAAAGTGTCTTGATTAACTCGTTTATTTTTTCTGATCCACATTTCCGACAAAGGTCCCAAGATGAAGCATTCTTTTTATCGTTAATAGTATGCTGACTGTTCTTGAGGATTTCTTCATAAAGTTCTAACGCTTTAAGAAATTTGCCTTGGTTAAAAGATTCGTGTGCTTCTTTTCTCATATCCTCAATATTACAATCTTGCATTGAAATATCGGGTAAGTAAAGTGGAGAAGAAGTCGTAACATCGGGTGAATTTACAGGAGCGGTAGTATTTTCTTGACTTGCGAAAATATCGTTATTTTGAATCGATGCACTAGTGTTATGGTCTTGGCTCAAATTTTCGTTAGCAATAAGTTGTTTCAAAATATCGAAAACTTTCTTTGTGTCTGGACGATTTGTAGGATCACTATCCCAACATCGTTTGTAAAGTTCAATATATTGAGGCGGCGTGCCTTCTATAGGTTCTTCTCTTTTCCCTTGGAAAATATTAACAATAATTATTTCGTTTATTAATTGTTGAAATGGTACTCTTCCACTTGAAATTTCCCAAAGGATAACACCAAAACTATAAACATCAGATTTTTCATCACGTTTGTATCCTTGCTTAATAAAACATTGTGGATCGACGTATGCCGGCATTCCACGAACAATCGAACTTGAAGTCATAGGTGTCTCGTTTATCTGTTTTGATAAACCAAAATCTGCGATTTTTGGTTGTTTTGATGGATCAGAATATTCTTCGAATTCTATGAAATATATCAAAACATTAACTGCTATAGTTAAACGTGTAATATATAAAAATAGTATACATACAAGATCTCTATGAATAATATCAGCATTATGTAAAAATAAAAGTCCAAATGCTATTTCCTTAGCGATAAGTAGCTTGTCTGTCCACTGCAATTTTGTAAAATTTGCTTGCAGGTATTCACGCAAAGTTCCAGCGTTGGCATATTGTAAAACCATATTATAATATCCGTTATTGTCTATTTGATTGTAATAAATATTCTTAATAATTATTTTATACAGATTTAGAATTTTTAAATTGTATATATACCTTTCGTGACTCCGTAGAACTTAATAATATTAGCATGGTAACCAACCCTTAGTAATAGCTTAAGCTTTCATATCATAGTTGTATAAATGTAGAAATTTAGCATTACGCCAAGAAATAATGCAAAGTAGTAATGTCATAAATACTTCTTTAATAAAATCTTTAATAATTTCTTCATTTATATTGGTGTCGATTTTAAGACATTTAAGGGCAACCGTTAAATCACAATCTTTCCATTCATATTTAAAAACATTCCCGAAACCACCGCTGCCAATAATTGTAGAATATGTAAATTTATTAAATTCAAAATCATTAATATATCCTTCGGAAATGGCGTTTTCAAGCCATTCTTTCGGTGTTTTTTTTGTCATGATTTTTGTATACCGAAAAAAATATACATACAGTACACACGAATGTATAATGTAGATCTTATTTATACTTACTGACTACGTGATACTGCAATGTGACACGGTGCTGTGACCTAGAATAGTCATGGTTACTGTTTCTTGATACAGTATCCTAACGTTCATTTAGTTCTGAACTACTGATTCAAACCCATTTAAGTTAAGATTTAAAAATGCGAAATACTATGCGAAGCATGAAATTTAAAGAAAATTCACATTAAATAAAAAGAAAAGAACAATTAGTACGAATGAAGGAAAATAAGATAATTACCCCTCTAAATTTTACCGAGTGTCTTTTATCATATGTGGTCATGCAGTGTAATAAATTCACCATATGTGATCATGTAGTGTAAATATTTTTTACCCTGTATGATTAGTATTACGGCTATTTTTGTTAATTTGTGTTATCTTCGTACAGAGGATTGTCAAAACAATTTCCTTGCAATACCTAAAAAAGGCAATTTGCATTCGGCTTTTTTATAACTAGTGCTTACTAGCTGTTAGATAAAGAAGCTGCCTCGATACTCAGTGTTTCAACACCTATCAAGAAATCATATGAGTCAGTTATCAGAAGATATGAATTATTGGCCACAGAAAATAACTGGCTTAATAAGGACAAAACTGTGTGGCCTGTTGCAAAAGAATCCCTCATTAAGTATATTACATTTTTACACAAAAAAGTATTCCCACCGACGATTCTGACCTACCTCTCAGCCTTAAAATTTCATTATACAAGAAACCACTACGATTGGACACACATACGAACCGACCCGTTAGTAATGCAGATCCTGAAAACTATCAAAGCAACCCACATCCACACACCAATAAAGCAAAAAACACATATTACCAGACAACACCTTTTGTATATCAAATCAAAAATCAACATGAGCGACCTATTAGATCTTTTTTTTTGAGCAATCGTACTCACCGCATTTTATGGATTAGCCCAGCTGGGAGAACTTCTACTGAACAACCGGGGTGATGAAATCAAGGTTCTGATACTCAATGCTCGGTCTTTTGAATTAACAGAAAGCATCACATTCACTATAATACAACTGGCAAGAACGAAAAATCACAAATCAGTACACAGAGCATCATTAATCATCAACCCAACCAATGACATTCTATGTCCAGTGTGTATTCTTAAAGAGTATATACACCTATGATCACAACTGTCCTACGCTAGAAACTGCACACTACTTTTTGCCAAACCTGATAGTTTCTGGGCGACAAAAATGTGGTTTATTACAAAACTGAAGCACTTTCTTCAAAACGAAAATGTGGCAGATCACAGTTTTCAGGCCGGCAGCACCACCGAGCTGGTATCATGAGGTGTCCAGTTAGTCCTAATACAAAAAATTGGAAGATGGAACTCAGAAACATTTTACTGATATATACGAAACCACCCAACCACAATTGCCACCATCCTGGCAAAGGCCTATATTAATTAACCCCACCACAACTATTGGAACCAGACTTGGCTTAATTAATGCCAGCCAAAAAAAAAAGAGGGGTGGGGAAATACAAAATAATTAAACAAAACAAATGACAACAACAGCAGAAGAAAGGAAACAGAGAAGAAATAACGACAACAAGCAACACCTCAAAAAAAAAAAAAAAAAGAGAGAAGAGAGAAGGGAAGAAAAGAGAAAAGAGAGACATAAACAGGTTACATACAAAAAAAAAAAGAAGAAAAACATATATATACAAGTTACTCTCGTTATAGTGAACTCTCGATATAGTGAGGACTAATTAAAATCGCGATATAGTGAAGTTAAGCTAAAGCCAGTTTATATAAAATTCTCTCGATATAGTGAATTTACTAATAAAACTCTCGATATAATGAATTTTTTAAAAATTTTCATTAATGGAACAGATCACTTCACTATAACGAGAGTGACTTGTATACATAAAAAAAAAAAGGCAAGAATGTGTCGAAGAAAAAGAGAATACCGGGCATTGACTGATATATATACGGCACACCGTACATCACAGAAAGCAACCCTCAGTACAAAGATAACACAAAGGTACAAGCGAAGAAAACATATCAAGAAGAGGCGAACAACAATGCCTAACATCCTATACACAAACAACAACAAAAGTATTACTACCGACAAGGGCAGGGCAAACAATAATTATTATAGAAGAACACGCACATTCAATCACACACAACCTCAAACAAATGTAATAAATAATAATAAATGAAAAATAACACAAAAGATATATATATATACATATATATATAAATATAAAATAAAATAAAAAATAAAGAAAAGAGAGGGAAACATAAAAATAAAAATAGAATAAGTAATAATGATAACAACCAATTGCCACTGCAACATGATAGCTAGAACAACAGAATCACCCAAACCTTTGGAGCATTCACATGATTCTGTCGTTCTAACAGCCGGCCTGCTTTGGCAGGCGGGAAACCACCGGCTGTATATTTGCTCTAATAATGCTTATTTCCTACCTGAGCTGTTACCGCGATTCCCAGCGCAATATCTATTGCTAATTTTCGGGTTAATCTAGGTTTCAGCACCTATTATTCTCTATATGCTCATTATCCCTAATAAAATTATTTCTGGCTCTTTGCGCAGCCAGCACTACTCCATACCTTAATTGGCGTGTGTAAATGTTTTTCGTATGCGTTGACGATAAGTCAACAATTTGAAAAACTAACTAAGCGCCAAGCCACCTTAACTAACAAACAAATCACATGAACCCCCTAACCACCGAACATAAGCCACATACGCCGCATCCACCACGTGCTGACAGCTCAAACTATAAATATGCCACCCTTACACTTGACAACTCTAACCCAGAAATTTTTAATGTTAAGATCTTTCTGCCCACCCAAGCCCACCGCAGAAACTAGGCACGTGATCTCGTCTAGAGCATTCACATGATTCTGTCGTTCTAACAGCCGGCCTGCTTTGGCAGGCGGGAAACCACCGGCTGTATATTTGCTC